AGTTCTTACAATGTTCTAGGTGCTATGGCAGTTGGCCCTGGACTCCTCTGCTTTATATCTATCACCTCCAATCCCCTTCTTCCCCAATTACACCAACACACAGCAACCCACACATCCCCAAGCCAAAGACTTAATTGTATATGAAATTAATCATACAAATGGAAGTGGCAATTATTATTCAGATTTACAGTTTACTAAGTGCATTTCACATACCACATGTTCAAATGTCTTTGGATTTCATTATTATTTTTCGCAGGGATATTATGAAGTGAAAAATAAAAGTTGGTGTGCTGGCATGGAAAAGGTACTGCTATAGGAAGCAGTCAACCTGTGTTCTACACTCTGTAAACTCAATGCCCAGGGGCCTGGAAGATTATATAAATTGGGGAAGTAGGTAGGCGTAATGACAGTGGTTAGGAATTTGCTTGAGTTATGAACAAGCAAATACCAACCTAGTTACATAGCCTTCATCGTGGGCTCAAATCAAACATAGCAAAGTGAAATATAAGGCCAGAAGACTAATAGTTTGTGGCCTAAGACTTGAGTCATAAACCTAGAAGCATTCTTAGAAGTTGTCTTGTCTAGTCTTGTCTCCTTCCTTAGACAGGAAAAATACCTGAGTTTGTTTAACCTCTGGTTCTGAGGACTAAAATGTGCATCAAGAACGTTATGTAGACTTTTGATTTAGCACGTGTGTGCCTGTGCATGTCTGCAGTCAGACTCTAGGGCTCTAATTGCACCAAGCCTTCCTCTTTTAACCCTCAGGCTTGAGATCCCTCGGCTGTGCTAGAACAGATCCACAAAGGAAAACTTTCAACTGAAAAGATAACATGTAACACCCTCCTGCTAATCTTCCGGTTGTTCACCAGTATGTTCCCAAGGCCCAGCTTTCTAGGTGAAACCACTCAGGCAGATGGAAACTTTCAATCAGGAAAGGGAACCCATGTCAGGAGAGGAAAGTTCTCATCATGAAATTATTCAGCAAGATACTGGACCTTTTAGGCAAAGGGCTAACCCTAGAACAATCCTTCCAATAAGGTGGAGGTCAGAAATTCACATGACTTTTATAGCAAATTACCTTCAGCAAATCACCTTCTCTGACAAGTGTTTAGTTGAAGAAAAGGGCATCTTTGGTTTGCCAGAATGTGAAGTGATCTCTTGAAGTTTATTGCAGCTCTAATGTCTATGATCTAATATAACAATAACAGCAATAATAATAGCTTGTTTGGTAACAAATATAGTAACAGATTAAATCTGGTAAGATCTCTTACTAAGTCTTTTCTACCTGGAAAATATATTTAGTGAGGTTTTTTTTAGGGGGGAGGGAAGCACACAAAATTTTATCTAGTGTAAGAAATTATTTAGAAACTGTTTTACTCAAAATAGTATCACATTTTGCCGGGTAAGTACTAAGGAATGCAAGCCTATAACCAGAGAAACACATGTTCATTGTAATTTTAGTTTGATTGCAAATTTTATTACAGAACTAATTTGACACAGGTGTCTTAATTTCCAAGATTGTCAGCAACTTCACTGCCTTGTGAATAGAAGTCCTAATTATTTTTGAAGAGTGGGTTAACCATTCAAGTATTTTTTTAATAAGTAATAACCATTTCTGAAAGGAACTAATTATTCACTCCATTTTTTTCTGATTAAAGAGCAGACTTATGCAGATGCATTGATCAAGCCCACATATTATTTTTGTTTGTATTGAATTCATTTAAAGGAAAAAGAGTACCCACATTTATTTTAAGAATATGTAACTATAAGATCAATAATCATATTCTACAAATATATGAGTGTACATTCATGCTTAAAGTTGTAGAAACCAGTCTTATGTAGTTATGCATTTACTTTGCAGTCTCATTTTATATTTAATATGCAGAATGATAATGTAGAACATGGTTAGGAAATATTTCATGTGGAATATGGTTACCCATTTTGACCTATTTTGAGAAGAGAGTTGTACATTTTATGTTAGAATGTATTGGTAGAGACTATTCATCAAGTCCTTCAGTTGGTTACCATATTGAAATAGCCACCCATGGACTGTGTATATTCTACCAGTTCTTCAGCAACAGTGGCCTGCTGCCCTTTGATTGGTGTCTGTAATCAGTCAGTGTCAAAACAGGGTCATCGGGTTAATTTATTATCATGGCTGACTAAAGACAACATTGTAAAGCACTGATACTGTCTCTTCATCATTATCTCTAGCTCTTGTTTCTTTAGGCAATCTGCCATTCTTTTAGTAACTTCTCTAGGTGAGCATCCTCCGTTGGTCTTTACAGATCTATCGGAGTATAAAACAAGCCAAGCATTCATGTATAAGCAATCAACATTCATGTATAAGCTGTCAGAACTCTGCTTGATCTCAATTAAATAAGAATTTAATGTGGATCCTCCAGTTCTACTATATAAATGCCTTTATTTTCACTTCCAGAAGTATCTCTAATGGTAAGAATTTTATATGAGCTTCAGATGCTGTGTTGGAAAGGATTTACACAGATTGAGATTGCCACTGTGATGTTGATGGTTAGGCAAATCTTTAACATCAGATAAGGATTTGATCCATGAAGTTATGCTCAAAGAGTTTATTTGAGCCGAGATTTAGAACTAAGGAATTGGAGGGAACCAGAGAAATTTAGGCAACCCTATCCAGAAAAATAAACAAAGCAAAACAAAACCGGAAGTTAACATTTAAGGAAGTATGCCTTTCTTTGAAAAAATACTAACTTACACATATTTTCCAAAGAATGTGCACAGTCATCTCATTTATTCCTTATAACACATCAATTTAAAGAAAGAAGAGAAGTTTTCTAGATAATGTATCCAAGCCCAGCAGAATTTGGTTGACTTAGGTACCTAGTTTGTGGAGAAAGTATAGCAGATAGAGTGATTAAATTGGCCTTGACCTCAGACTGACTTGAGTTCATGCCCTCGCCTTAACATGTGCCTGCAAATATGATTTAAAGGTAAAGGATTCTCTGTTCCCATTGTCTCAGACACCAGGTTTTTTATAAAGAGTGATTTGACCCTTTGAAACAAGGCTTAAAAAGGATTAATCTTTCCCTATTTATAAAAAAAGAGATACTTCTCCAGAAAGCATTTGATAAAATTAAGTACTTTATTGGACTAGTGACAGCTGATTTGTTATTGTTATGCAAAAACTGAAAATGAATTTATTCCGGTTACTATTATGTTCTACAAAAATAATAGCTCCTGGTTATAGGTAGTTAAAATGCCATGTTATATTATGTTGCAGGCAATCTCTTGGCAGCTGTAATTTAAAAGGTGTCATTTAAGCATCTGACCTGTGTTTTAAAATGTCAAAGCAACAATTAAACTATCCCATTATGCTTTTATGAGAGGGAAATAATGTTTTACAGATTTTGAGATTTGCATTAGTCACTTGCAAACATCAACATCAACCAAGATGCAAATTGTTTATTTTATTTTGTTGAATTAAAAATGGAGATATGTTATATTGATAAGCATAAACTAAATGGTCTCTGCTTCTTTTTCCAACAACGGCACAGATGAACATATTTCAATATGGTATTTTCCAGGCACAATCAGGCTGCCAAAGAGAAAACAATGACAGATTCTCACAGTTTCACCCCCGATAACATGGATTGTTGTTGCTTTTCTATTAGATTTATCTCTGATGTTGCATGAAAAATAATTTTCTCTGGCAGTAATAATGTAAGAGTAGTTACATTTTTTTGTCTCTGCTTTTTAGTTACATTTCTATTTTTAAGACAGATTTGATTTCCTCATTTATTATCATCTTTTCATATTGTGCAGTCAGATAAATAATGCATTTAGTTTACATTATAATGTGTTCAGTTTTACAAGAGTTGGAATAGAATCTGTTTTAATAAGTAATATTTACTTATTGTCTGCTTGTTACATGCCTGATATTGTACTCAGTGCTTTGCATGTTCTATTTTATTTATCCTCGCCTCACTAACATGAAATAGATACTATTAATTTATTCATATTCTACATTATTCAGTTGAGTCTCACAAGTTAAATAAATTGCCTGGCACACGACTAGAACACAGAGAATCTGGGTTACTATCCCAGACCCTGTTAGCTCTAGCATGTGTCTTAATATTTGAAATATAGCCTAAGATATATTATCGCACCCATGGAAAATATGGGCAAGAAACATTTCAGAAAAAAAAGGAGAAATGAGCTCTGCTTTATTCTGCCCCTTGATTTTTTTAATGAGTGAATTGATTCTGTTTATTCCTTAAAGAGAATGCACAGCAGAGAAGGAATTAAGCTGGGGTAGACAAGGGGTAATAGAGAGGAAGTGACAGAAGTGGGCAGTTGAAAATTATGCATGTGAATTCTGTATAAATTTTAATTCAGCCATCATATTTTTTTTGGAACCTCAAATACCCGTGATAAAATATAAGTGCACGTTTTCTTTCCTAAACTACATTATATAAAAATTATTTATATGTCACTTTACAACTTTAAATCGTTTGTCATATATCTTATTTGCCTCTTCCTAATAGAAATATTTACTTTAGAAATATGATAGCCTGGCCTCTAAAAATGGAGTATCAAGACAGCCTGATCCTTGAGAAGTAAAGTATCCTTAAAAGAGGGAATTGCATCCAATTGCCCCTCGACCTGAAAAAAAAATTTTGCCCCCTGTGTTTGTGGAAGAGAATATTTTCATACGCAATTATTTGCCGAGGACTTTAACATCCAATTCCTTGACTTTGAGCTGTAACTTAAGCCACCCCATTCCAGAGTTTTTTCACTAGGTATAAGAAGAGATGTTATCTGTAAAAAAAGAATTACCTTAGTTAAACAACAGTTAAAATTAAATAATATCCTGGTTTCTGCCTTTGTTCTGGAAAATGAAAATTTAGCTAGAAGAATTTCAATTTTTGTTCATTGTTTTTGCTTGTTTTTCCACACTATTTCTCTTGGTCTAAGATTGTTCAGTTGAGTGCAAAGTCCATTTGAGTGAACTCTTTAGAAAAACTGGAATCAGTGACACTAGACTTGAGAAACACTCTTACTTAAATGTGCCTTAAGTACTATGCCATAAATCTGAGCATCACAATTTGGCTTTTGCATGGGGCGTAGAAGACTCTGATCCTAGACTCACAGCTTACCTTGCTTTTTCTGGGGCGTCATCTGTAATTATATAATGTTAGGGGAACAAGGCCAATGAATTGACTTTTTTATATGGGTTACAATGCAGCATTCAGGAGTTCTATTTACTCACATTACCTTACCTCTCTCTATCACATTCATTATTTTTCTTCTCTGATTCAAAGCCTGGTGTTGATAACAATTTGATTTAATTTTATTGACATGAAATTCACATATCCTAAAATTATCCAATTTAAAGTAAACAATTCAGTGACATTTAGTACATTCACAATGTGTGCAACCACCACCACTATCTAGTTCCAAACATTTTCATCACCCCAAAAGGAAACCCTGTGCCCATTAAGCAGTTACTACCCATTTTCCCCTTCCCCCATCTCCTGACAATCACCAGTGTGCTGTTGGTCTCTATAGATTTACCTGTCCTGAATATTTCATATAAATTGGATCAAACAATATGTGACATTTGGATCTGACTTCTTTCACTTAGCATAATGTCTTCGAGGTTTATCCACATTGTCACATTTCAGTACTTCATTCCTTTTTATGGCTGAATAGTATTCCATTGTATATATATACCACAATTTGTTTATCCATTCATCCACTGATGGAAATTGGGGTTGTTTTCACCTACTGGCTATTGGGAATAGTGCTGCTATGAACACGTATGTACATGTAATTTTGAGTCCTTATTTTCGATTTTTTGGGGGATATATATATATATATATGTATATATATATATATACACACACACATGCATATATAGGAATTGCCAACAAATATGGAAAAACAAAGCAATGGCCTACAGACTGGAAAAGCTCAATATATATTCCAGTCCCCAAGGAAGGAAATGTCAAGGAGTGGAGTAACCATAGGACCATTGCTCTAATTTTCCATGCAAGTAAAGTGCTGCTCAAGGTACTGCAACAAAGACTTTTTTTTTACCTTATATGGAGCAAAAAATACCTGATGTCCAAAGTGCGTTTGGAAAGGGAGAGGCACACGAGATCTAATTGTGATTGTTTCTTGGCTACTAGAGAGCTCCAAAGAATTTCTGAAGATGGTTAGTCTACATTTTATAGACTACAGTAAAGCCTTTGACTGCATGGATCATGAAAAGCTATGGGCTGCTCTGAAAGAAATGAATGTGCCTCAGCACTTGATTGTCCTGATGAGTAGCCTGTATTGTGAACAAAGAAGCCACCGTTAAGACAGAATATGGAGAGAGAGAGAGTGGTTTCTTGTAGGCAAAGATGTCAGACAAGAATGCATTTTATCTCCCTATTTGTTTGATCTATATGCAGAACATATTATATGAAAAACTGGGCTAGACTCAGATGAAGGAGGAGTGAAAATTGGTGGAAGAAATATCAACCATCTAAGATATGCAGATGACACCATCCTACTGGCAGAAAGCAGCAGTGATTTGAAATGACTTCTGACAAAAGAGATAGAAGAAAGTGCCAAACCAGGGCTGCATTTGAACATCAAGAAGACAAAAATCATGACTACAGAGGAACTACATAACTTTAACGTAGGCAAGGCAATGAAGACATTGAAATTGTTAAAGATTTTGTTTACCTTGGTACAGTCATCAATTTCAATGGAGACTGCAGCCAAGAAATCAAGAGAAGACTGAAAATGGAAAGGCAGCAATGAAAGAATTAGGAAAGATTACCTGTGTAAGGAAGCGTCGTAAAAGACTGAGGCTAATATTATCCGCACCCTCGTGTTCCCAGTTACTATGTATGGGGCAACCGCTGGTCAGTAAAGAAGGCTGACAGCAAAAAAAAAAAATGGATTCATTTGAAATTTGGTGTTGGAGTATAGATACCTTGGACTGCTAGAAAGATGAACAAGTGGGTCCTAGAGCAAATTAAGCCTGAAATATTGCTGGAGACAAAAATGATAAAACTGAGGCTGTCCTACTTTGGGCACATCATGAGAAGGAGGGATTCTTTGGAAAAGATAATAATGCTTGGAAAAGTAGAGGGAGCAGGGAAAGAGGAAGACCAAATATGAGATGCATTGACTCCATAAAGGAGACCATAGGCATGAGTCTACAGGAGCTGAGTAGGGCTGTTGAGGGCAGGACATTGTGGACATCAGAGCCAACTTGATGGCACATAACAACCACATATCTAGGAGTTGCAGGGTCATATGATAATTCTATGTTTAACATTTTGAGGAACTGCAAACTATTTTCTACAGCAACTGAACTATCTTACATTCTCAACAGCTATACACATGTTCCAGTTTCTCCACATCCTTACCCACACTTGTTATTTTCTATTCATTTTACGATAGTCGTCCAAGAGATGTGAAGCGGTATCTCATTTGGCTTTAATTTGCACTTTCATGATGATTAGTGATGTTGAGCATCTTCTCATACACTTATTGGTCATTTGTATATCTTCTTTGAAGATATATGTATTCAAGTCCTTTGCCCATGTTTTAATTGAGTTCTTTGGTTTATTGTTGTTGAGTTGTAGGAGTTCTATATTCTGGATGTTAATTTCCTCAAAAGTCTTTGGAAACTTCAGTAATTCAGTTTCAAGAATGTAGACAACATCTAGACTGAAGACTAACAAGGAAATTTAGAACTTGAATAACACTATTAAAAGCAGACCATATATATGTCAGTGAAGTATGTTGTGAAAGTTCTTGATGATGAACATGATAGTAATATAATAGAGTATGATCATTAAATCTGAGATGTTAGCAAATCAAAAAGAAAGTTCACGTCTATAGAGATCTAGAATAATAATTACTATAACCTTAGCCATTTGAAATGTAGGTGAAAATAAACTTAATAAAATACACAATAAAGTGCACACAGTAGAGCTTGGTGTAAAGACTCTAATTATTGAGCACCCAAAGTGCTTTTTGGGCGTTCAATTATACCTATCAATATTTACTGGATTAGAAATTAAAAATTAATTCATGAGACTTTTCTAAAATGTTTATTAATTCATTTAAAATGGGAATAATAAAACTATTACATGTAAATATACTAACATATAATAAAAATAACTATATTTTCCAAAACAGAAAAAATAGAAGAATGGCATTATTTTATACTTTTGCAAATCAGTTTAATATCTGGCTGAATAGAAGACATCAGGATTCTCATATGTTCTCCTGTGTTAATTCTTTTGCAATAGGTTGTTTTGGTTTAAGTATATGAAGGAATTCTGACCTCATAAAGGTATGTAGTTAGAAATGAAAGACATATTTTAATATCCTTTAATGTCCTTCCTTGATACTTCTTGAGAAGTTGACAGGTGGTAGATTCTTGAAGATTAGTTGCAATGTGGAATCTGAAACCTTGTTAATAAAATATCAGTACTCTGCTACATTAAAATCCATTGGTCCATCTTTTACTTCGAAAGAATCTTTAACCTATGCATGATTCTGTTACATCATGCATTGGTCATTTGAAAAATATTAGTTCACTGAGTTATGCAGATCTTCCAAATGTTGGTGGAGTTTATATACAACATAACAAAACAAAACACAGTTAACATCCATGATGATACCACTGGAAAATTCTCACTAGAAAAATATAGGGAAACCGTCAAATTCAAAGTGGAGAACACAAGTTTTCCAAAATGCAGCTTTTTGCTTGAAAGCTTGAATTTTATAATTTGTAACAAATACAGTTTTGGTTGTTTTTTTTTTTTCTTTTTACATGAGAGGCTCATTTCATTTATTTTGAAGCAAAACATTTGTCAAATACTTAAATCTGAATAATCATAGTTTGTTATTCATTCCTTCCACTAAAGATCGTGTTCCATGAATAAAAGCAGTTAGTTCAGTTCAAAACTCAGCTAACTGCCCACATGGTTTTCCCTGAGACAGGCATCATGTTGGTATACAGCAGAAGTGGTTTTGTTTTTGTTTTTGCATACTTCGGATTTCAACACAGATATTAAAAAGATCTGAAGTATTGAGATTTACTATAGTTAAGAATTTTTAGAACTGTATCAAGGAAATTCTTAAGTGAAACTGCATTTTTTTTTAATTTGAGTGTTTATGACAGTGAAGAATAGAATGACAATGGTTTGATGCCACAGTGTTGATTCACAATAAGATGCCTGGAGTTTCCATCCACCATTGGTTTTGCACCAAGAGTGAAAATTTCAACCCAGTATAAAAGGAAGATAATGCCTTAGTATTATTATGAATATAATTTAGACTTTAGGACTTCCGTCTACCAGTTGTTCATGAACCACACTCTACAAACCTCTTCTGTAGGATTAAACAAAGATATGAAACAAAAATTTGCTTATGCTGATGTGATTGACACAAATAGTATACCTGAGGGAGGAACTTAAACATGGTTATGTAAGAGCTCAAAGGCTCCAAGTAGAATCATAACACTTTAGGGTAAAAAGAAGACATCATTCCAGGGTGTGCGTGTGTGTATCATTGTAATTTTCCTTTACTTTTCGCAATGTGAAAGGCCTTTGTGCAAGTACACTCCTCATATTTAGGTTTACTACTCAAATTCAGGAGATGTTGATTTGAAAAAGGTCTCAGAAACAAGTTTGAGAATGATTAGCATTTTGAATAATTGACTAATTTGACTAATTAAACCTCTGAGTAAATCCTAAAGCTCTTGATTTATTTATTCAAGAGATTAATGCATTCCTTATTTGATGAGCACTTAAAGTTTCTGTGGAAAACAAGAACTAGTAGAAAATATAACAGAAACTGGGGGATCTTAGAGATGTAAGCTACTTTATGGCCCATTGTGTGTGTGTATGTGCATGTGTGTACTTCCGATAAAATTCTACCTGAAGAAGTGGAGCATGCCAAAGCAGATCAGTTCTGGTCGGAGAGTTCTAACCCCATCCTTCCCCCTCACTTCTCTGTCTTCAGAGAGCTTGTGAGAGTCCCTAGAACACAGCTGTCAATAGTGTAATTTAGTCCAACGCTTTCTTTGTACAAATGAAGAAACTGATGCCTAAATAGAATGAGTGATCTAGACAAGGGCATGTAGGCTAGTTAAGGGTTGAACTAGGACTAGAATATTACCTCCTACCTCTGATCACTATTATTCCAACATTATTGCTTGTTCCTGTTTGAGAATAGAGAATGGAAGAATAGGTTCACGACTGTTGGGAACCTTAGAGAAGACGGATGCATTGTTCTTGCAGTGCATATTTCAGTACTTCGTATTCAATGTAAATTTTCTAGAAATTCTTCCCACGTTTGATGAAAAAAGGGGCAGGGGGATAGTGGAGAAAGAGATACAAAATAAATGCATAATACCTTATTTGCCAGCTATCCTCTTCATTCTATTCAGTATAGACACAACTTTGGGCATAATTTAACTTTCCACACAGCTGAATTTTTAAAATGCATTTTTTATAATTAAAATATGGCTTTCTATATGAAAGCCACATGCTGGAAATACACTCAAGAAGGAAAGAACATTCATTGGAAAATAATCTGATTTAGGAAATACATTCAATTAGAACAATATATATTATGAGACTTTATAAGATATCAGGTTAGTCTGAATCAAAAGTAATTCTAGGTGGTAGAATTGATGAGGAATTGACCTCTTTGTTCAAAAAACTTAGCTCTTACCATAACAAGATATTAGACAGAGTAAGAAAAGGCAAAAGAAAGAAATACAAGAGGAAATTCCCGGCATGCCAGGAAGAACAAAGGTAATTTTCTGGGACTATAAAACAGATGTTACCTGATACACTAATTCCTTTTGTGTTCTTTCTTGAGTTGGTAAATTGGTGTTCACAACAATACTAAGTGACAAGCCGCTTGAAGTTTCTTTCATTGACTAGACTGATTTGTAATTTATTATTTGTGTGATTCATACTTTTGACCTTACAAATTCAATATAGTCAAATGCCATTCCTTCAAAAGGAGACTTCTAAGTGAATTTTACCAAATTTTTCCATTAATTATAAGAAGCAACTCAACACTGTGCTTCTGATAGGGTAAATCTGAGAACATACATGGAAACATTTTGGCTGAAGAGACCAACTATGAAAGAGATGAATATTCCAAAAGAACAAAAGCCATCTTTTTTTTGTGGTTCTGAAATTGAAAAATTCAAAGGTGTTTCATGTTGACCTATACATTTTAATCATAATAATGACAATGGCTGACATTAAATGACCTGAGTATTTTGCCTAATGATTTCCATATGTGACCTCATTTATTTAAAAAAAACTGTAGCTTGTACCAGCACATATATTGTGATGTTTTTTCCAATAATATGCACTTTTATTCATCAAATTTACCTTATGAACTATATAATTCATTAAGTGAGAAATAGTAAACCTTTGTTCATTTTCTTAGTGATAAATTAGGAAAGATTAAAAACAACTTGGGATCTTATATCTGATCTCAAATGACAAAAATTTTTGACAATGTTTAGTCTGTTGTGTAGTATTTCAGCATTCTAGCAAAAGAAAAAAGATGAAAAATAAGAGGGGAATTAATGCTTCATCTAAGTAGTAAAACAAAACTTTAAAGGTCTGTTGACCGGTTAGGGGATGTACAAACAGCAAATATTTTGAAACGATCTGGAATTCAGCCACGACTACTATGATTTGTGTTCTGTCTTCAAGTAGTTATATAAGGAGGGGCAGAAGAGATGTTATCCTTTCAATGAACTTTAAACATCCAATTATGTTTTAAACGGAAGCTCAGTAGAAGACTAGCCTGTACTGACACTAAACATGGAAAATGAGAATAAACTTTAAGAATAAATAGAGATTTAAACACAGCAGTGGGAAAGAGAGGTGGTAGTACGTTGGGCGTCCAGAAAGAAGAGAGAATCATGTGAACAGAAAGGGGAAATGCCTTTGTTCTTTTTCTGGGAAATGCTGAATAACTACCTGATTATATTTTTCTTTTTATTACTGTTTTAACAGGAAATTATTTCAAATAGAATTTAAATTAAAAGAAATATTTCTGAACCTCTGATGTCAAGAGTAAACTAGATAAAAAGTAACACAATTAGTTTCAGTAAAGAGAAACCAAGAACTGAAAGATGTAAATTAGTTTCTCTTCAGTTCAATACTGAAGAACTTTCTTTTTTCTTCTAAGATTATGCAGCCAACTTATTTCCAAAGGCCATTTAAAAGCAAGATTGGATTTTTAGAAAAAAGCACAGAAATACCAATGGCAATATATGATCTTAAATGACAGACTAAAGAGGACAAAAAACAGGGAATGAATTCTTTAATGTTGTTTAATGTTTAATGTTAATAGTTCTGTTACTATGTTCATGTTGCTAAGATTTTATATCTTGCAACAGTTTAACAAATGATTGTTTCCAATTTGAAATAATTGTGATTATTGTTATACTGTGCATCTCATTGGATTTTTGTGCTGCTATTCATAATTATAATCATAATCACAGCGTCCTATTTGGTTAACAAATGTTTAGCCTTTTAATAGCAACTATTAACATATATTAGGTTTTCAGACTTTCACACACATATATACACTCACATATATACACACACATCAGAGAGGTATCTCATATTCAGTTGCAAAATAACTAGAGATAAGACATGTTACCCAGTAACTTACTAGTGAAGAATAAGGTCTATGAGAGGTGAATCTTAAATTTAAGTAATATTTTGTTGATATTAGGGAATAGGTAATGATTTCAGAACTTCCTCCTCTGAAGATTTATAAGAAAGGAGCTTTACATGGAGGATCATCTCTTAAAATTATTTACAATCTAATACCAGTTTCTGCCTGAGCGACCTTCTCAGTGTTCAATGTAAGTGATTAGGATGAATGAGTGGTATCCAGGATTCTCTGTTTGCTAAGTGTGCCCTTGGAGTTAAAGTACAGAGAAAATTATTAAAATATATAAAATAGTAAGATTTCTCCAGATGATTCTAACATAAATTAAGTTCCTGAGAAATGAGGTTGCGCTGTGTGTTATAAACGCTTGCTGATGAGATGTAATAGGGGATGTTCCTGATGTTGTAATACCAAACACCACACAACAATGAGAAGAGGGTAAATTTGGAATTTTAGGCTGGCATGTTATAAACTGTTTTCTTGAAGAAAACAAACAAAAAGCCCCACTTTTTAGTGAATGCTGTGACACCACCCTATTTGAGAAAAGAAAGGGACTGTGGCAATTGTACCTTCATGGGCAAGTTGGAACAGAATGGGATGCTAATGAGGTCCAGAGGGATGTACACTGAGGAGCTGAATTTCAGTTGGGATTCTTATGGCTAAAAGGCAATAAGAATATTATTATTTTGGTTATTTTTTTTGTGAGGAAGATCAGCCCTGTGCTAACATCTGCCAGTCCTCCTCTTTTTTGGCTGAGGAGGACTGGCCCTGGGCTAACATCTGTGCCCATCTTCCTCTACATTATATGGGATGCTGCCACAGCATGGCTTGCCAAGTGGTGTGTCAGTGCGTGCCTGGGATCCAAACCGGCGGACCCCGGGCCGCCACAGCGGAGCGCACGCACTTAACTGCTTGCGCCACAGGGCTGGCCCAGCAATAAGAATGTTATTAAAATATCATTTGTAGGGCCGGCCCCGTGGCTTAGCGGTTAGGTGCGTGCGCTCCGCTGCTGGCGGCCCGGCCCGTATCCGGGGCACGCACCGACTCACCGCTTCTCCGGCCATGCTGAGGCCGCGTCCCACATACAGCAACTAGAAGGATGTGCAACTATGACATACGGCTATCTACTGGGGCTTTGGGGGGAAAACAAATAAATAAATAAAATTAAAAGAAAAAAATACTTTAAAAATATCATTTGTAAAGTTGTATATTGTCTTTTTAAAAAGACCTAATAAAGAAAGAAAACATTTTGAGAGACAGTATGCTTAATAAGTCAGAGAGATGTAGGTTCCAATTTCAGTCCTGCCTCTTGCTAACCATGTGACCTTTGCCAAGATATTTAAATATGCCAAGACTAAGTTTCCCTTGTCAAGTGAAGATAATAATACCCAAGAGGGTTTTGAGGGCATTTGGGAAAGGGAGGATTGATTACAAAGGATGAGCACCCCAAAGATTATGATGAGACTTGGAGATAAAAGGACATAGGGGATAGAAGCCAGCCTCAGAGGCTATTAAAAGAGAAGCTTAATTATTCATTATCTGTAGAAGGAAAAAGTCTTTATCCTGAGACTGAAAAATTCAAGAGACCTCAGGTATAGTGCCTAACTGCTAAAGAAAATTTAAAGAAATGAACAAAGGAAGAAAGAAGGAAAAAAAGAGAGAAAGGAATGAGATATATAAGTTACTCTTTCAGTAATGAATGAAGTCAAAGAAATTAATCCGTAATACATGTATCTCTCTCTCATTATTGTTTAAGAGGAAGATCTAATTACCATAATTTGAATTACTTTAATAGGTTGATATCAAAATAAGGTCCAGGAACAACTGGAGTTAAAAGCAAAATTATTTTATTAATATTTTTAAACTATTTCAGTTCACAGAAAATGAGTGAAAGTTCAAAAATATTTAAGAAAAATATTAAAATGTTAACTGATCAATATAATACAAAATGGGAAAACAATGGACAATGTAATTTCATTTGTCAATGCATCTAAACATTTAAATAAACATTTAGCATATTAATCTAGCAGCATAAAAATAATAATAATTCACCATGACCAGTTGAATGTTGTTATAGAAATAGATGGTGGTTGGAAATAAGAAATTTCATTTGTACAAATTATTTTATCAACACATTAAAGGAGAAAAAATATTTTTATATAAAAAGACCTAAGTATATGATGACATAGTAATAATTTCAAATAAAAATTATAACTGACATAGGAATAACAACAAATTACATAAGAATGATAAAGATTTGGGCCAGCCCTGGTGGCCTAGTGGTTAAGTTTGGCACGCTCTGCTTTGGCAGACCAGGTTCCGTTCCTGGGCATGGACCTACATCATCATCTGTCAGTGGCCATGCTATAGCAGCAGCTCACTTGAAGGAAAAAAAAGAGGAGGGTTTGCAAGAGATGTTAGCTCAGGGCAAATCTTCCTCAGCAAAAAAAAAAAAAAAAAAGGTAAAGATTCATTACCATAAATCAAGAAAAAATATCTTATTAAATAACAAAATATTAAAGTTGCCTCCATAATAGAAGAAAAAGACAGGAGTGTCATTATCACCATTATTATTCAACATTGTTTTTGACATTCAAGCTAATAAAATAATTCAGTAAGATGAAATAAATACTTTTTAACAATTGGTGCTGGAGCAATTAAGCATCCACTAGACAGCAACAAAATAAATAAAATATAACCTCAAACTAACCCTCGTACCATATACAAAAAGTAACTCAAAATGGATTAGGGACTTATATGTGAAATATAAAACTATGACCCTTTTAGAAAAAAATATAGGAGACAAGCTTCAGTATTTAGGATTAGGTGAAGCATACTTAGTCTTAGTCTTTTTTTTGTGTGTGTGTGTGTGTGGGGAAGATCAGCCCTGAGCTAACATCCGATGCCAATCCTCCTCTTTTTGCTGAGGAAGATTGGCCCTGGGCTAACATCCATACCCATCTCCCTCCACTTTATATGGGACACCGCCACAGCATGGCTGGACAAGCGGTGCGTTGGTGCACGCCCAGGATCCGAACCTGCGAACCCTGGGCCGCCGCAGTGGAGCGTGGGCATGTAACCACTGCGCCACCAGGCCGGCCCATTAGTCTTAGTCTTCAACAGCAAAAGCATGATTTATAAAAAAGAAAAATTGATAAACTAGACCTCATCAACATTAATTTTTTTCTCTGCAAATGTCCTTTTAAAGAGGATGAAAAGACAAGGTAGAGACTTGGAGGAAATATTTGAAATTGATATATCTGACAAATGATTTGTGTCTAGAGATGATAAAGAACTCTCCAAACTCAGCAGTTAAACAAAGAAACACTCAAACTAGAAAATTAGGAAGTAGGCAAATGACATAGACATTTCTCTGAAGAGGATATACAGATCAAAAATAAGCACAGTGAAAGATGTTCTTTAGGTATTAGGAAAATGCAAATTAAAACCACAATGGGATATCATTACACGTATATCAGTAGAGCCAAAAATTTTAAAAAATAACACCAAATTCTGACAAGAATGCAGAGAAACAATCATTTATACATTGCTGGTGAGAATGTAAAATGGTACAACTACTCTAGAAAAACATGAGATTTTCTTACAAAACTAAACATGTGCTTACCATGTGACCCAGCAATTGCACACTTTTATTCCATTTATTCCAAAGAAAGGAAAATTTATGTTTACACAAAAACTTGTAGGGAAAGTTCAGAGCAGCTTTATTCACAATAACCCAAAACTACAAATGATAACCCAGATGTTCTTCAGCAGATGAATGGTTCAACAAACTGTGGTACGTTCATACCCTGGAATATTACTCAGCGATAAAAAAGAACTTGTTGATAGACTCAGCAACTAAGATGGGTCTCAGGGAATTATGCTGAGTGGAAAATGCAAATCTCAAAAGCTTACACGTTGTATGATTCCACTTATATAGCATTCTTGAAATTACAAAATTATAGAGATGGAAAATAGATTGGTGGTTGCCAATGATTGCAGAGGGAGGCTATGATAATAAAGGGCAGCACAGGAGATCCTGGTGAGGGAACTGTTCTGCATCTTGATTGGTGCTGGTCATATGTGTGAAAGTGCATAGAACTAAACACACATGCACACACGTACACAAAAAAATACATGTAAAATTGGTGAAATCTAAATAAAGTTGATGGAGTGTATAAATGTCAGTTTCTTTTTGTGATAATGATTATGCAAGATGTTATCATATTATTAGGGAAACTGGATGAAGGGTATAAAGGATCTACCTCTGTCTTATTTCCTAGAACTGCATGTGAATCTGCAATTACCTGAATGTATATATATTAATTTAGAATAAAAATGATAAGTATTCTGTTCACAATAATGACAAGCTATATATAATTAGGACTAAATATAACAGGAAAACTAAAGGATCTATATGAAAAATAGAAGATGAAATATTGATGTACATAAAATGTGAGTGGAATAAGTAGTTCTGAATTTAAAGCCTTAATATTGCAAAATGTTTAAAGTTTTCCAACTTACTATTATACATAGTGCTATTTTGATAAGATTCTCAATTTGATGAGTTGAAATATGATTTTAAAGCTCCTATAAAAGAACGTATGTTTGAGAATTATCAAAACATAATTTAAAATATTTGAGGGGCCGGCCCCGTGGCTTAGCGGTTAAGTGTGCGCGCTCTGCTACTGGCTGCCCGGGTTCGGATCCCGGGCGCGCACTGATGCACCACCTCTCCAGTCATGCTGAGGCCGCGTCCCACATACAGCAACTAGAAGGATGTGCAACTATGACATATAACTATCTATTGGGGCTTTGGGGATAAAAAGGAGGAGGATTGGCAATAGATGTTAGCTCAGAGCTGGTCTTCCTCAGCAAAAAGAGGAGGATTAGCATGGATGTTAGCTCAGGGCTGATCTTCCTCACAAAAAAAAATAAAATAAAATAACATATGATTTGAAAATAAGATTATTTGGTGTGGTGCACTTGCCTTACAAGGTATATTTTGTATTAACATCTGTCTAAAAGATACGGCAAACAAAATATGTGGAATTTACCTAGGAACAGAAAAATATCTTTTTTGAAGAGAAATAGATGAATGTATATAATTGATATTCATGTATGATACAGTTAATTTTTCAATTCAGTAGATAAGGATTATTTATTTAATAGATTCTGTTAGCATAATCTATTCTCCTACTGAAATAACATTAGACTCCTACCCCTCACCTTTACCTATATGAATTTTATTGGATCAAATAAATAAATGTTTATCAAATGGAGATGGTAAAATCTAATTCTCTAAGAACTGAAGGGGTTGGATTAGACAAAATGAAGGTGCGTTTATATAATCTTGGGAAATTTTAAATGTTGAAACTTATCTATACCAAAATCTGGTCTTATTGAGATACCTCATAGAACAAGTATTAAAACCCTAAGAAAATTAGCTCATATAATTAAAATCCAAGACTCTTATGACAAAAAATGAATTCTAGAATCAAGGCTTCTTTGGTTTGTCAAAAAGTAATCATTCATCCTTTTATCTAAAATGCTCTCACTCCTTCTCTTGCCCCTGCCATTCCCTTTCTTTGTCTTATTGAAATCTGTAAGGCCCAGGTCTTTAATTTTTAAATTTTTTAATTGACTTTATTTTGTAGAGAGGTTTTAGGTTCACAGCAAAATTGGGCAGAAGTTACAGAGATTTCCCATATACCACTTGCCCACACACAAGCACAACTTCCTCCATTATCAACGTCCCACACCAGAGTGATACATTTGTTACGATTGATGAACCTATAGTGACACATCGTTATGACCCAAAGTCCATTCTTCAGATGAGAGTTCACTCTTGCTGTTGTACATTCTATGGGTTTGGCCAAATGTATGACAACATGTATCCATCATTATAGTGTCATACAGAGTAGTTTCACTGCCTTAAAAGTCCTCTGTGCTCCGCCTGTTTATCCTTCCCTGCCCCTAACCCCTGGCAACCACTGGTATTTTTACTGTCTCCATAGTTTGCCTTTTTTAGAATGTTACATAGTTGGAATCATGCAGTATGTAAGCTTTTCAAATTGGCTTCTTTCACTTAGTAATATGCATTTAAGTTTCCTCTATGTCTTTTCATGGTTGATAGTTTATTTCTTTTTATTAGTGAATAATATCCATTGTCTGGGATAACAGTTTATCCCTTCACCTGCTGAAGGACATCGTGGTTGCTTCCAAGTTTTGACAATTATGAATAAAGCTGCTATAAATGTCTGCGTGCAGGTTTTTGTGTGAACAGAAATTTTCAACTCATTGGGTAAATTCCAAGGGGTACAATTGCTGGATTGTATCATAAGAGTATGTTTAGTTTTGTGAGAAACTGCTAAACTGTCTTTGAAAATGTCTGTACCACTTTGCATTCCCCTCAGCAATAGATGAGAGTTGGTCATTTAATTTTTAACTTAGGCCTTCTCTGATTCTTTTGCAAAGTATTTTCCTTCTTTTCTCTGAACTCATATGGCTCTCTGCATCCTTATTCTGACATCTATCATATTCTTTCTTGTTTTGCAACTGTGAACCCCTCGGGGCAGGGCATAGATAAGTCCCTGGCACCTTACAATGCTTCACTTAACACTTTGAAAATTAAGGGTCTCAGTATTTGTGGAATGAATTAAAGAAAGTTCAAACGTTGGTGCTTCAGACTGTCAGGCAAACGATCAAATGTATATCATTGCCTAAGAGCATTTTGTTTTGCAAATCCGTATATAATCACAATGTCTTACGCTAAGGTTGGAATCAAACAATTCTCACTGTAACCACTAGTAATATTTTTTCTATTGTTTCTCAGCAATTATTTTGTGGGTTAAATGTCTGGTTGATTCATGTGAAAGGAAATTGCATTTGAAGGTGTTGATTCTTTGCCCCCACTTTCCCGCTGGAACAAAGCTCTTGCTGAAATAAGTGTTGGACCTTTAAAAAAATATCTATTGAGGTTAGTATGTGTCTGACATTTTACTTTCACTTCGGAGTGAAAGTCACAGCTGAAAGGTCCCAAAGATGATGTTACACAGTAAATAAGCAATGCTATTATTTTGCAAGAAAATGAAATATTGCTAACTTGTCTCGAGCCTCTTGCATCTAAAAGTGTGTTTACTATGCTTAATTTTGGTAGTTAAACTGTGTTGTCCATCCATTTTTTAGATTTGGGAATTTAAAAGGGGAATATACCTAGTGTATATATCAGGGACTAATATAAATGTGTGCTTTTTATTAATATTCTGGCATTGTAATATGTGAATTTTTATATTTAACTCTTAAATGCATTTAGTATTTATATGGTGATACTTGTTTGATGGAACTTGGTATTCATTCTCTTCGTTTGGTGAACTTCCCTCCGAATTGAAAAGTTTTCTTTATCATGTATATTCAGGGCCTTCAACTCTCTCATCTTTGGGGTTTATAGCAAAACTATAAATTTATTATCAAAGAGAATGTGTCAAAGTGGTTTTGGAAAGTAATGGGCTGGATTATGGTTAAACAGTGAAAAATGTACCCTTTTGGGCACAATGCACAATAGGAATTCTTAACTGCTTTCATTTTATATATCACTACATAATAAGGGATTGATCTATTAAATCTATACCAGATAAAGACAATTTTAATATTAAAAATAATTTATTGAAAAAGGTCATGAAACAGACAAACTTCAAATGCCTAAAATCATGTTAAAATGGTTACTCTATATTGTCATCTAGTTAACATATTTTTGAAGCAAAATATTCCGAATTTTATAGTACATTAGTTTTAAAGACTAACATGAGATAACTCTAATCTAAGATTTATTTTTATTTTATTTTAGATGAACTCACAAATTCATCAGAAAGCAGATTGTCTTTAGAAGACCTCTTCAGGAAAGACTTTGTGCTTCATGATCCAGAAGCTCGATGGATCAATGGTATGTGAATACCTTTTTACGTTGCTATATTTATTTTGAGTTCTGTATTATTAAAACTAAAATAAATAAAGGTATTTGTAGTTAATATTTTAATTGACATTATGCTTTAAAGATTACATATATCATTTAATCAGAAATTAATACCTTGGCTCATGTGACAGAAAACTCATACCTAAGATAGGTCATCAGTAAAATCATCCTCCAAACGTTAGATTGACTGTTCTGTATCTGCAGTTTCCTCATGATCATTAGTTACGTGGCTTTAAGGATGTGTTCCATCTCTAGCATTTCCCTAAATAATTCTTCTTGATATAGAAGTATAGATTTGGGGATCCTGTATGTGTATGTAAGTGCTTCAAATTTGTCAATTAAATTAGCTTTCTTTTCTCTCCTTCTTTCTTTTTAAGCTTAAGTGCTACAAACTAGGGAGACTTTACAAAGTCGAAATAACTTGGAAATGACATGGAAATATATGGTACTTTGTCTCTTCCTGGCCTGGCAAAGAAACCACTTCAGCTTTCCTTAGGTTAATTTCTGATTTTATTATTTTCAAAAATTAAAAAAGAAACAAGAACATTTAGATTAAAATAAGAAACAACCAACAGTAAAACCACTGAGTGGTTCCATGGATTTGGTTCATCTCTATGGAAATTAATAGGCGGAGTTACTGGCTAATCTAAGCAGAAAAAAAAATGTGTTGGTGAAAAGGAAGTCAGGTTTTCATTTCTTGAATATTCCAATTTGCCTGATCATGCTAATTACTGTGGTTAGGTCACTGTTAATCCTCGCCCTTCACTTTATTTAGGCATAAAATCTTCACTTGTTTTCAAGGCATAGAGTAGAATATTGGTATGATAGATAAAAGGAGGCTTGCTTTTTTATCTGATAAA